ATATATATATATATATATATATATTAGATCCGAACCCGAACGTATACCGGCGAAGTGTTAAAAGAAAACATTGATAATCCGACGCAGGAGTAAATCTACTCTTTTCACACGCCAAGTTAAAAACCAATGCAAATACTTTCTTTTCTTTAAATATATTTTGTTTATTTTTTTTATTACACAAAGAGCGTTACTTTTTTTTGCGCCGTCTCTCTTCCCGGACTTTCGTTTATACCGTACTGATAATTCCGATGAGCTACTTCGCATAGAAAAAGGTCAGGTCGTTTTACATTTTCTTAAAAAACGTCTTTATTTCGAGTTAATTCGCTGTCCCGATCTTTTTTATACACCATGTATATACACTATATATTATATATAATGTGTTATAAAAAATAATAAAATTTTTAAAAAGAGTTTTAAATAGATATATTTCGAAAACTATACAAGACTGCCGATTAATTTATAAAGAAAATCAACAATAACCGATTCAAGCTCCATGAATTAAACTTTAAAATAAAGGGTAAAGAGTCAAGTATAGAGTCATCTAGTTCATATTGTTAGTGCTAAATTATTATATTCTTACAACAATAAATTTCATGGGATAATACAATACCATACAATTGTTACGACTTGACATCAAATCCTCCTCAATAGTCTTTACATAAATCTTACGCCGTGTGTCATATCGTCGCATCGCGATCTTATCTTACATAAAATTATGTATCGAGAACAGTAAAATTTCGTTAGATTATCAGACTAGTCCATAAAAATTATTGTATCCCATAAAGTCGAGAATGGTGAAAATTCCTTAACATTGTCAAATTAGTCTGTGAATTTTATCGTATTCCCTAAAGATTGAGGACTGTCATTTAGAAGTTTCTAAGTATCCTCAGTGGCCTCTACATAAATCTTATGTCGTGTGTCCTATCGCGATCTTATGTTACATAAAATCATGTGTCGAGAACGATGAAATTTCTTTAGATTGTCAGACTAGCCCATAAAAATTGTTTTATTCCATAAAATGACTGCCATAGAAGCTTCAAAGTTAAAGCGTCTAATGGTAGTCTTCAAACTTTATGGAATACAATAAAATTTTTTTTTCACGGATTAATATGATAATATTAAAGAATTCTCACCGTTCTCGACTTTATAAAATAATATAAAATAATTTTTATAGACTAGTCTATTTAAGAAAATTTAAGAAAATTTTATCGTCCTCGACACATAATTTTATGTACAATAACATAAGATCGCAATATGACACACGACGTAAAATTGATGTAAATTCCACTAAGGAAGGCTTGATGTCAAATCGAAACGATTGTACGATATTGTATTATATAAAATTTATTTTTTTATTAAATTATTTTTATTAAAAGAATATAATAATTTAGCACTAAGAACTAGATTGGCTCCTTGATCTTTATAATCATTATTTTAAATTACAATGAAAAGTTGATCTCATTGATCATTGGAGTTGATGACCCTTATCTGTACATATACAGAGACTGCCAAAAGTTCGGGGCCACTTAAATAATTTCTAAACGATTTAAGATATTGGATTGAAAATAAGGTTACAATGGTAAAATGTAATTGTTGTTCCTGAGTGGATGGAAATGCATGTGAAAGACCGTATGTGTGTGTGAGGAACATGCACAAGCCTTATGTTCCTCACGTTCCTCGCCATGGGCCCTCGCTAAATAACACCAAAATCAAATAAGCATAACTCTGCGAAAAAAAATCGTAGATACCTCAACAACCCCACGTTCTTCTCGTTTCGAAAAGCTTTTTTAAACGAGCCCTAACTTGATCCTGCTCCCACATGTCATTTAAGATTTTCAACTCCCCGCCCCCCTCCCCTTCTCCGGAGGGTTTAAGTGTTTTCAAGATTAAATGATAGATTACATTTTACCATTGTAACCCTATAAATTTCAATCCAATATCTCGATTCGTTCAGAAATTATTTGGGTGGACCCAAACTTTTGACAGTCTGTATATGTCAAGATAAAGGTCATCGGAACTGCATCCGCTAATGTAAAAAAATATTAACGCATTTTTCAGATATTTCTCATTTTTCTTAAAAATATGATATGACAGAACATGTTCACTTATGGATTTGGATTTATTGCATCAAAAATTATGAGAAACTATTCTTTTTTTTCAAACAGTAAAAAAAAAGTCAAATTTTAAGACTGACCTGTGTTATTATATTTTTAATTTTTAGATATTTAGCATTGTTAAGCTATCTCGAGATCTACAACGAGCGATTACGAGATTTGTTACAAGACGACACTAGAGAAACCTTAACACTAAAAGAAGATCCCACGAAAGGTACTTACGTCGCGGGTGGATTGCGAGAAGTCCCTGTCAAAGATGCAACCGAATGCGCCACATTAGTTCAACAGGGTGATCAAAGGAGAGCTGCAGCCGCAACAAAGATGAACGCTGTCAGTTCAAGAAGTCATGCTGTTTTAACTTTGTCACTTGAAGCAATTGCCATCAATGACGATGATAAACGTGGCAATGCTATCAGGAGAGGTCGATTACATTTAGTCGATTTAGCTGGATCTGAAAGACAAACTAGAACTGGTGCTACAGGAGATCGTTTGAAAGAAGCTGCCAGTATCAATCTGAGCTTATCGGCATTAGGGAATGTTATTAGTGCATTAGCTGCCGGAAATGGAAGACATGTACCTTATAGGTACAAATAAAGTTTTCTTCTTACATGATTTCTCGTAAACTTTTATTTTATCATTTTTATTTATATTGCTATTTGATGAACGGTTTTCATTTAATATTATTGGTATATCAAAAATTATATTTATGTTAACTTTCTTATATAAAAATGATATTCAAGTATATTGAGAACTCAATAAAAATTGAAAAACATTGCAATATTAGATGAAATACATCTAAATAACTTATTACAAAATCTTTTATAGAAAAGAAATAATCAAATGTATTAATATAATATATACAGAGTGTCCCATAATAACCGCACCTCGTGGACAGATAAAGCAGATAAAACTGAACAGAAAAGTCCTCTACCATTTTGCAAAATTCGCAATCGTTAACGAGATATTAATTTTTAAAAATCGGCGAATAAACGCGTATCTGTCCGCCTACCGCTGAATGCAAGCGCGTGGCGAGATACGACCGCCCCACCGCTGGTAGTTGCTAGCCGATAGTTGACGAGTGGTGGGACAGTTGTATCTCGCCGCGCGTCTGACATTCAGCGGTATGGCGGACGGATATGCGGTTATTCGCCGATCTTCAAAATTAATATC